AGAACTTTTAGAAGAAATGCTGAAGATGCAGCAATGGACGAGGAATGCCACAGGGAAGTTATGGAAGAATTCCAGGTATTTAAAAAGCAAAGGCAGATGACAGAGCAGGCAAGTCTACCTACATGTTGATTCTCTCTGATTCTAGCAAGTCCATGCAGCTGAGCACTGACTCAGAGCCTTAACCTGCTTAATTACGTGGACTTTTGGTCATCCCAGGCCAAGGTGCCCAGACCCCGCAGGGAGCTGGTCTCTGTCCTCAAGGCATATATGCAACAGTACTGGGCAGAGGAGTGATGCCTTTTTTCTTTTCTGAATATTTCATTTTTATTGCATTTTTTCCATTACCATTTATCCCCCCATACCCTCTTCCACCTCCACCCACCCCTTCCCCCTAACACTCAGTCACCACATGGTTGTCCGTGTCCATGAGTCCTTTTCCTTTTTTGCTCGATCCCTCACCCTCTCCCCAGTGCTCTCAGCCTGCCCTCTATCTATGAGTCTGTGTCTATTTTGCTTGTTAGTTCTGGTTATTCATTAAATTCCACATATGAGTGAAATCTCATGGTATTTGTCTTTCTCTGACTGGCTTATTCCACTTAGCATAATGTTCTCCAGGCCCACCCATGCTGTTGCAAAGGGTATAATGTTCTTCTTTTTTAAGGCCGAGTAGTATTCCATTGTCTAACTGTCCCACAGCTTTTTTATCCACTCCTCTACTGATGGGAGAGTGATGCCTTTTAAAGACACACAGTGGCCAAGGCAGTTGAAAACAGGGAGGAAAGTGAACACTCTGGTTGAGGGAGCATCAGGACAAGTTTCCTGAAGGAAGGAGACCATGGAAAGGACCCTGAAAGAAGAGGAAGTGGAGCGGGCCAAGAGCATTGTGCCCCCTGAGGGAAAGTGCTTAGGCAAAGGCATGGAATCAGGGAAGCCAGACCAATTCAAAGAGCACGTCCAGGAGTGGAGTAAGGGAGCAGCGGGTGAAAGGCAGGAGTAATCTGTGTGGAGATCCTTGAATGCCAGGAAGAGGGTTGTCCTCCTAAGTCACAACCCAGAGATCAGCTGCTTGGAAGACTGAATGTCTCCAGGAATCCACCAGAGCAGACTCTCAGGAGGCCTTTGAGAAAGCCCGCTCTTTCTCCCTTTTTTTTAACATGCTCTTCTACATTTCTGTGTCTTCACTCTTGCTGTTCCCTTCTCCAGCAATGCCCTTCCCTCCTACTCTGCCCAGAAAACTCCTACTGATCTTTAAAGTCCCAGCACAAATTCACCTCTTTTGTGAAGACTTCCTGACTCTCGTATGTAGTTTTTAGTCCCTCCAAAGTGCTCCCACCGCTCTTGGTTTATTCTTTATATGTTTAACATATATCAATGTTCTGTTCACCATTAGTCTGTCTGTCTCCCCATATTAGTCTCTAATCTCCTGGAGGTCAGGGACTATCTCTTATTTTAGCAATAGGACTATCCCTCATACTAGGAATATATATTCTAGTATACTAGGAATACATAATCTATACATATTGCACAGATGAACACAGCCCATCAATAAGTGTGGAAGGAAGGGAGTAAGAAAGGAAGAAAAAAGGAAAGGCGGAGAGCATTAGCTTTGGTCTAAGTCACTGACAGCTGGGCCCAGTGGCCTGGCCCGCTGGTTTTATCTGCCTCACATGCCCTGGTGCCTCCCAAACTGAGCCCTCAACTTCCCCTCTCCCCGACTGTGGGCCAAGGAAGACACCCTCCTACCAGCTGCCGCCACTAGTGCCTGCTGGCACCTCATTAACCCAGATGGCTCAGCCCTGCCCTGAGAGGTGCCAGGCAGAGCTCAGGGCTCAAGTGAGTCTCCTATGAGGGAGGGCGGAAGAGACCTGGGGCCCCCTGTGCCAGCCCCAGAAAAGTTACCCGCATGCTGTCTCAGAGAGAAGCTTTTTTTAAAAAGATTTATTTATTTTTAGAGAGAGGGGAAGGGAGGGAGAAAGAGAGGGAGAGAAACATCAATGTATTGTTGCCTCTCATGCGCCCCCGCCTCCCCCACTGGGGACCTGGCCTGCAACCCAGACGGGTGCCCTGCCTGGGAATCGAACCTGCAGCCCTTTGGTTCACAGTCAGGCTCAATCCACTGAGCCACACCAGCCAGGGCTCAGAGAAAAACTTTTGATCCTCAGAGCTCTGCTCTTGGACAGACACCTGCTCAGGAGCAATGAGGTTGAGCTGGGCGCCTGATGAAGGGTATCTGTAATAGTAGAAAAAATGAGGCATGGAGAAGGGATAGGACTCAAGCTAAAGATGTGAGGAAAATCTGGGACTGACCAGAAAGAAAGACAAGTATCCAGGTCCCCTGTCTGGGCCAAGGGCCAGGTGCTCTCCAGGCTACTCGTAGAGGCCAACAGGCCAACCTCCCAATTCTTCAGGCTTCATTCAGCTCCCTGAGCTGTGTTCCCCACAGCCTGTCATGTGTGTCCTCTCTTCCCAGCACAGAAGGGGCCGGGGGAAATGGAGGTTGTGACAGTCTGACAAGAAGGCCAGAATAGCACAAACAGAACAGGAATCCCTGATCCCTGCCCACAAGCTTACCAGGCCACACCCCCAGCTTCCAGACTCCAGCTTTCTTGGGAACCTCTCCTCCCAGGGAGGCTGAAGAAAGGCCCTGGGGCAGTAGGTGGAGATTGGATCCCTGCCTTGAGGGAAGTGAAAAGGTTAACTCTTCCTGTGTCTACCCGGCCAGTCTAGCCAGTTCACCCCACAGGGCTGTGAGTCCAGGCTTGTCTCTGGTGCTCTCTCATTTTCAATTTCCCTCTTACCCCTCCTTCCATCTCTGTCTGGGAGACATTGTGAGGAGAATCTAGGGATCCTTGGCACCAGCTCTGCATAAGGTATCATTTAATACTGCCAGTAATCACCATCTCCTGGTTTATTATTAGCTCATTTTCCCTCATTGCTACCCTTGTCATCCCTGGATCAATTGTGGGTGCATTCTCATTCTCTCTCAACAACAGAAAACAGGTAGTGATAACACACACACACACACCCTCCCAGTGAATGGGAAGAAAAAAGGGCTTCTCTCCATTGCAGCTCCTGCTCCAAAACCCTACCAAGCCACTGGGAGGCAGGAAGCAGGAGGTGGAAGGCAGGGACTAGAGGTACAAAGAACTCTTCTGAACCAACACAGCAATCACCTATCGACAAGCTCAGAAAAAGAGGATATTGAAGGGCAAATATGAGGAAGGCAGACAAAATTAGAAATCAATGAATGTTAAAGATTCCTCTCCCAAAAAAAATAGAGTTGTCAGAGTAAGGACTAAAACACTTCAGTTTATTTAGGTGGTTAATACAAGGAGGGGACCCAAAAAAATGGAATGTATTTATAAAAAATTGTATATTTATTTTTACATGTTCAAACTTCATTCGCCTTCAAAGTACTCTCCATTTGATGCAATACACCCATCAAGATGTGTTTCCCACTGCTCAAAACAGCTTTTGAACTCACCGATTTTAAAGCCTAGTAGTACTTCTGCCATTTTTGTTTCACCTCTTCCACATCGGCAAAACTGTTTCCCCTTGAGAATTTTTTTTCTTCCGAGGGAAACAAAAGAAGTTACTGAGGGAGAGATTGGGCGAATAGGGAAGGTGGGGCGCAGGGGTCATGCTGATTTTTGGTCAAAAACTGCTGAACACTCAGGGCAGTGTGAACAGATGTGCTCATAAATCACCCATCATGAAACAGGCAAATGCTTTGAAAAGGTATTACCAAAAAAATCACTGAAGCTGAACGCAGCCACTCACAACACCACCAGCTGGTGCACTGATACAGATGGGTTCCTAGAACACTCACCTAGTGGGGGAAGCCTGTACTATAAGGGGCTCACCCTCCAGAAGATAATTCTGGTTTTGGGGGGATCCCACCTCGTATACCAGACAGGAAACAAGAGTGGAGACCTTTCCCCTCCTGTCAGGAGATTATGCTTTCGAAAGTGTTTCATAAATTTCAGAATGCTCTACAAATGTAAGAAAGTTGTATCAGTCCCTGCATAGCCAGTTGGCAGGAAAAAGACCACAGGATGGGGTAGAGTGGTGGGGGCCCTCAGAACTGCCCCTGCCCCTGCCCCCATTACAGGGTCTTTGGCTTCATGATTATAAGACTATAATGATCACACAATCATGGACACTTCTGATTCCCAATATCCACCACTTCTGTCAGACAATATGTCCTGATTTAGGGATGTGAAAATGTGGTCCTATCATGTCATGCCCAACAAGTGCCCTTCCTTGAACAGATCTGTTTCAGCAGCAGCTGTGGGTGCTGGGACAGCCCTTGTGAAGCCTGGAGTGAGCCTGTTTGCCATGAAGTGTGAGGGTGCCCCCACCTGACGCTCCTGTCTTCCCACCCTCGTGGGAGAAGTGTTGGGTCAGGAGCCTGGCACCAGGTGCAGTCCCTAGACCAAAGGCCAAGTCCCCCCTTCCACAGACGACCAGGCCAGTGAGATATAAGGGTCATACTTTGGACTCCAAGCCAGAGAGCCTCACGGAGACCCAAGGGTCTCTGGGCCACCAGTCCCTTCCGTTGCTGTCCCGCTTCCCTGCCTGGTTAAAGGAGGAAGACGAGGCAGGGGAAGGAGGAGGAGGAGGAAGATAACTCGGTCATTCCCCTCGCCGTCTTCCGCAGTGCACCTAGCCCGGCATTTATGCCTCATTACTCTGGCGCCTCCCGGGGGTCTGGCGCCCCTGAAGGAGCGCGCGGCTTCAGCCCTTCCGCTCTTGCCCGGTGGGTGGTGAGCTCAGGTGCAAAGGAACTCTGCGAAGCGAGCTCTCCTTCCTGGCAGGGTGGTCGCTACGTCCCGGGTAGGGACTCCTCAGACCATAAGGTTCTACGGACGTCCTCACTGCGCGGCCGGTCGGGTGCCCACGGTGAGGGGGCGGGGCCTGCCCGCGTCCCCGCCCCTCTCTCGCCACCTTCTCTCCTGCTCTGCCCTGCGCTGCGCTGCCCGGGTCCTGTGGGCCGCTCGGTCCCAGACCCAGGCCGGGCAGCGGGGCTGACAACGCTGGGCGAGCCGTTGGCAAGCGTGAGCCGGGTGGTCCGGGGCGGCAGCGCAGCGGGTGGCGCCGGATCACCTGTAGGCACAGGTAAGCGAACAGGGGCGGGGGCGGGCCGGGGACGCTAGGGGCTAGAGACCAGGGAAGCCAGATCAAAGATCAAAAAGGGCCCTGGGTAGGAAGAGAGAAAGTGAAGACCGAGCCCTTGGAGGGAGAAATACTGGTAGAGGGCCTGGGAAACAGTGACCTCTTTTCTTTCCTGTTCATAAATCAGAGAAAAAGTAAGGGGAGGGCTGATCAGGGGTCGTAGGCCCACCTCGAGGGGAACCAGCAGCTGTTTAAAAGGCCTCTTCTATTCAGGCCTTGCCCACTCACAGGGTGGGTCCTCTACCCAAGTGGAGAGGGAAGGGATGGAGCCCCACACCTGGCCCCCAGCTCCAAAGAGCTGCCCCCAGAGGCTGGGGAAGACCGAATGTAGTCCAAAACCACAGAGACCCTCCTTCCACCTGGTTCATCTCTAAGACCAACGACTTGATAGCTGTCCCTCCCTTACATCCTTGTCTGTAGCCAGGAGGGTTAAGTGGTGGGCAAGCTTTTCAGTACAGAGCCAGATAGTAAATATTTTAGATGTTGAAGTGTATACATATGACCTCTGTTGAAATAGCTGAAAAGCAGTAGTAGACCATCAGTAAAGGAGTAAACATGGCTGTGTGCCAATAAAACTTTCTCTATGGACACTGAAATGTGAATTTTATATAATTTTCTGTGTCATGAAATAGTGGCCTTCTGATTTTTTTTTTCCAACTATTTAAACTTGCAAAAGCATTCTCGGCGTGCAGGCTGTACAAAAACAGGTGACGGGTCCAGGCCGTCGCCTGCTCTCTCTCCATTTCCCTAGGTTGTGTGTGGGGAAACGGAGGCTGTAACTAGTTGCACAGGGAATCCCCACACCTGGGGGCAGCCAGGAAGCTGGGGACTTGTCTATTGCCCTTGCTCTCAGCTTCTCGTAGAACTGCAGCATGATTGGAGGCCAGCGGGGGGACTTATAGGCCAACGGTGCCCACGTGTGCACATATGTACATTTCCCACCCCTACCAAGTCATAGATAGATCCGGCGACCATGCTCTCCCAACAAGTGACCAAGCCCTTGACCCTCCACCCTCCTGCCCTCCCCTCCCCTCCCACCTTGGCCTCGGGCCTAGTGCCACCCACTTATCAATGCTGGCCCTTCCATTCCTCCATTTTTCTCTTTGCAACCTCAGGGGACCCCTTTCTCCTGGACCTTGGAGCCATGAACCTTTGGAGGTGACCTAGGAGAGAAGGGATGCAGGCTTTTGGTCCTCCATATGAAGGCCCCCTCCGAGCGCTTGTGGACTCCCACATTGAGACGTATGGGGGCCAGCATCAGGTCTCCGCCCAGAGTACTGCTGGCGGTCTCTATCCCCGAGGAGGCCCCATGCTGGTGAGTCCAGGCTGTGCCCCAAAGGTGACCTGGGTGGGGCAAGAGGGAGGACACCTGGGCTTTCATGTCTCTGCCTTTTATAGGTTCGTGGGCTGCTCTATTCCTATCCCTCACCCTACCTTCTTTTCTGGTATGGGAGAGAGAGGGAGGCCATGCTGGGCCAGGATCCCAGGACTCCACACCCATCCCAGGCAGATGGGGCACTGGAGGCAGAAAGCCAGGGGAAGCCAGGCCCTCCGAGGAGGTGCTGTGAGACAGGTCTGAGGCAGGGAGCTGCGAACTCCGCCAAGCCCTGGGGATGGCACCTCACAGGCTCCCACCTCTGTATGGGAGGAGTCTGCGGGCTCTGAGTCAGGACTGGAAGAAGAGCAAGGTTCACAATGTCCCTGCTCTGAAAGGAGGGAGGGATGTGGGGACTCCCTGGACTCCACCCTCCTGGCCCGCCTCCAGTGCTGACCAATGAAAGGGGTGTGGAGGCTTCCCTCCACCTTGAGAACAGTTCTGCTTCTGGTTGGAGGCATCCTCGGCCTTCCTGGAGGAAGTTTTGGTCCTAGGAGACAGGGAGGACAGCCGAGCACTCCCCCAGGCAGAAGGCGGAAAGGGAAAATAGGAAGTCTGTGGGGTAAATCAGGCCACACGCTGATCAAGGAATGTGACCAGGCCTGTCCAGGAGGAGACTTGTGGCCACGGCCTCAACCTCTCACACGGAAGGGCCGCTGCTCCCCCACAGGATGAGACACGGGCTACATGCCCGCGGGGGAGCCGCACATGTGCGTGCCCTCACCCCCACGTATCAGGGAGGTTGTTTGCAAACAGGGAAGCTGTGAGGGACCCACATGTAGTGTGCGGGGGCATTGTGTGAGCAAGCCTGTGGTACAGGGAGCACACACATGCGTGGGCGGGTACGGAGGGACACCCTCCAGGGCCCAGGCGTGTGTGTACCTGTGCGCTGCTCTGCAGGAGGTCCCCGCTCCTGCCCCTGGGCCCACTCGAGGAGCCAGCTTGGCATGTCCCTGCCCAACCCACTTGGCCTCTCTGGCAACAGCCACCGTGACTCAGGGCAGGAGTGGCTCACACCAAACTGGTTTGAAGGGAGAAGTGAGTCAGCTCAACTTACATGGGTGAGGGGTGCCATCTGGAGCAAAGCCTGGCCCCTACTGCCTCCTTGGGACCTTCTGGGGGAAGGGGAGTACCACCCCCAGAACTTGCCCTGCTCTTCCCTCAGGATCCCAGTCGCCTACACCTCCAGGACTATGTCCCCTTTGTCAAGGGTTCTGGCCAGCCCCGAGCCTTGTCTCCTGTGAGGTTGCGAGAATCAGAGCCTGAGAAGAAACATGGAGGCCATTTTGGGGCAGGTGCACCCCACTCCCCCAAACTCAAGGTAAGGGGTCCCCCGCTCTCATCAGCAGGCTCACAACCTGAGCTGTGATGTCCTCGACAGGCATCAGAGCTGAGAGCTCAGGCCGCCTCCAATAAGCCACCTGGCTCTGTCTGGAGAGCTTCTCCGAAAAACATCCCTAAGCCATGCTGCCTCATAAAAATGTCCATGTTATGGGCAAATGTCAAAATGCTGCCTGGGACCACTGGCTTTTCCTAAGCCCTGTTCTGGTCTCCATCTGAAGGTCCCTCTGAAGGCTTCTTTCTCAAAAGACCCCTTGGAAGGCACCTTTCTGGGCAGGGAGCCCAGGCCAGACCCCTCTATCCAAGGACCTTTCTGCAGACCACAGTACCTCTCCCTCCATGTTCCAGTAACTCCCTTGTCGCTGTCATCCCAGCTGGAGGTCCATCCCTGTCCCCCAGGCTCCCATGTCCTCACACACGCTCAGTGCTCACACACACACACACACACACACACACACACACACACACACTCACACACACTCACACGTGCAGTGCGCCCTGGGCCCATTGGGCTGGGCGCCCAGGACGTGGCCACGATTGATCCCCTTTTCGACTCCACCAGGAAGTCACGAAAGCCCGGGAGCTGGAGCGGAGGCTGTACACATTCAGCATGTTTGGGATGCCCCGCCTACCCCCTGAGGATCGGCAGCACTGGGAGATAGGAAAGGGCATCGACAGCGGCCTGACCATCGAGAAGTCCTGGAAGGAGCTGGTGCCTGGACACAAGGTGGGCCTGTAACACAACGTCTGTCCCCAGGGGGTTACAGGCACAAATATGCGCGACTCACCTCTGCCTCTTCCCAAGTGAAAGGCCTCAGGCCACGTGAGGAAAGCATTTGGAGACATCTTGCTCCTGGTCCAAATCCCAACTCCATCACTTACTAATGAGACCTTGGTCATGACAGCAAACCTCACTGAGCCTCAGTCGCCTTATCTGTAAAATGGGGATGACACCTACACACGGGAGGATTGGTCTGAGGATTAAAAAGTCTTCGATGAAGTAGACCCAGTAACATTTAACAAATGAGAGCTGCTGTTCTTGTTATTGTTCCCCAACTGAAACAGCCCCATTCCCACCCCAGGAGATGAGCCGGGAGCTTTGCCACCAGCAGGAGGCACTCTGGGAGCTACTGACCACGGAGCTGATCTACATACAAAAGCTCAAGATCATGACCGATGTGAGTCTCCCTCAGTCCCAGCCCCGGCCCCATCCTCAGCTGTATACCCATCTTCCTTGCATGTCCCCCAGTCCTCCCAGACCAGAGGGACAGGGTTGCTGGGGGAGGGAGGGGCAAGATACCAAGAGATCCCCCTGATTTGAGACCTTCCCAGGATCTTGGGAGGGAGGTTAGCAGCACTGAAGTTGGGGGTGGCGATACACTAAAGGGCTAGGCTGAGAGGAAGGGGTCAGGCACTGAGACCCTCATCTCTCCCTGCATCTAGCTTCTAGCCGCCGGTTTGCTGAACTTGCAGCGAGTAGGACTGCTGACAGAAGTGAGTGGGAGCTTGGGGTGGGGGCGGGGGGGGAGCCTGGTGCCTCCCATGCTCTGAGCCCGAGGAATGGGGAAGGGGAGGGGAGGTTGAGGGTGGGGTCTCGGAGAGCCCTCCAGGCTGCGCAGTCTGAATTTCTCTTGCTCCATATTCTAGGACACCACCTGCCCTCCCTACTCCCCTTCTCATTCTAGACCCCAAGAAGGCCACAGCTCCCGCCCCTCCCCCTACCATCCAAGTTTAGCAGTTTCTGCTTGTCCAAGGCCAATGCTGCCTAAGGGTGACCTGCCAAGGCACGTTGCTAAGTTCTGCTGCCTCCTCCAGGTGTCAATCGAGACCCTGTTCGGAAATGTCCCCAGCCTAATCCGAGCCCACCAGAGCTTTTGGAAAGAGGTGCTGGAACCTACCCTGTGGAAGACTCGGGCCTCGGGCCAGCCCCTGGACCCTGTCAGCCTGCAAGATGGCTTCCTGGCGGTGAGGCCTGGCGGAGGGCTGGATGAGGCAGGCCCGGGAGAGTCCAGGGGGTCCTGTCTGCAGGGCATGTCTATGCAACTGGAATCCTCCCATGACTTGAGGGGGTCCAAGGGCACAGACCTTACCCCAGAATATCACCTCATCTCCTGCCCTTCACTCGACAAGCATGGCCTCTGTTGCAGAGGTTCTTTGGGCTTCTGGAGATCCTCATGACATGATGACGTGAAAACGCAGCTGTCTCAGGGAAGAGTTACACCAAGCTCTTATCAACTATAAATTCTTACTTCTTAACCAGACATCCATTGACAAACAGCTGGGAGCAAGAACAAGGGCTAGGGGAAGTGTCCCCTAGGGGATGGGGTGGGGGGGTGGGGGGGGGGAGAAGGGATGTAAAAGACCTCAGAGGTACCAGGAGCATGGGGAAGTGTGACAAGAGAAAGCTGGAGGTCCAGGACCGGACTTTCTTCCCCAGTTTTCTCTAGCCAGAAAGCGTGGGCCTCGCAGAGCCGGAATGGGGTGGAGACGTGGGGAGACAGCCTCCTGGGAGCCTTAGAGGGCCCCCAGCCCTCTAAGCACAGGACAGGGCTTCTGGGCAAGCCTCAGCTCACCACCCCTCCCCGGGTGAAATGGGACCTGCAGTGTCCGGAAAACGTTCCGGCTGAATTATTGATGGCAAGAGTAAATTCAGAGCAGCAGGGCACAGCGGGGGCTGTGAACAGGAGCTCAAAGAGCAGCAGTAGGTCGGCCTCTCAAGTCCTCACCTCCTCCTTGGGATCCAGAGAGAAGGCCTGGCAGTCATGGGAGGTAGGGATTGGCAGGAGCTGGACTTAGGGGTCTATGAGAGGCTGCCCCATGCCCCACCCCTGCTCCCCATGTTCTGCAGCCAAAGCCTGTATCTCATGACCTTCTTCCCCTGCCTGCTCCCCGCCCCACCCATCTGTCCCTCCAGTTCAGCCAGCGGTTCCAGCCCTATGTCCAGTACTGCCTGAGAGTGAAGCAGACCATGGCTTACGCCCGAGAGCAGCAAGACAATAACCCTCTCTTCCGTACCTTCGTGCAGGTGGGAGAGGGGTTGCCAGGGAGGGAGATGGGCGGACCTAGCTGTCCCGATCTCCTGCTGGGCTCCAGGCTTAGTCCATCTCTAGGGTAGGGCAGGGCAGGTGGCGACTTGCAGACTGCTGACCCCCTGCCCCCCTTCCCTGGCAGTGGTGTGAGAAGCACAAGCGCTCGGGGAGGCAGATGCTGGGTGACTTACTCATCAAGCCCCACCAGCGCATCACCAAGTACCCACTGCTGCTGCAGGCTGTGCTCAAGAGGAGCCCTGAGGCACGAACCCGCGAGGCCCTGAAGGCCATGGTACGGCGCCTGGCAGGGCCAGTGTCCTTAGGAGTTGGGGCCTGGTGTGTGGGAACTGCTCTCCAGGAACTCTTGAGAGGCTCTCTTCTCGCATGCATGTGACAGTGTGGCACTGACTGGCCCGCCTGTGTTTAGATGCTGTGGTTGTCATTGATTGGGTGGGGATGTGCAAGGTGAGGAACTGAGCTACTCCTCCTTCCGCACCCTACCGTCATTTAGATTGCAGCTGTGGAATCATTCCTGCGACACATCAATAAGCAGGTCCGCCAGGGCGAGGAGCAGGAGAGCTTGGTGGCTGCAGCCCAACGCATTGGACCCTATGAGGTGCTGGAGCCGTCCAGCGAGGAGGTAGAGAAGGTGAGAGAGGGAGGAGGGGCTCAGAAAAAACAAGGTCCCCAGGAAAATGGATGAATCAGAAGCCTGGAGGGAAGGGACAGAGGTGCCACAGGGGCATGTCCATCATTCCTTCCCCGTGGCGAGGGTCCCATGCGCAGAGTGCAAAAAAGTAGGAGGGAGGCACTGAAACGCTTCCCCTCCCTCCAAGCGGAGGATGGATGAAAAGAGACGGCGCGGGGAGCAGAACAAAGAACCACCATGACTGGGCAGCAGACACGAGCCCTACCCAGTCCCCTCACCCTCTCCTCTCTGTGTCCCTCAGAAACTGAGTCCATTCTCCAACCTGGACCTGATGTCCCCGATGCTGGGTGTTGCTCCTGAGCACACCAGGCAGCTGCTGCTGGAGGGACCCGTGAGAGTGAAGGAGGGGCGAGAAGGGAAGGTGAGGGCCCCATGGGAAGGAGCAGAGAGGTGAGAGATGGATTGAAGAGAAGGGAGAGATGGTGGGAGGTAGGATAAGAGTCAGATAAGCCGGACATGGAAGAAAGGTGTGTGTGCATGTTCATCTGTGTGTCTGTGTGTGTCCATATTTATGTATCTGTGTGTGTGTCTATATATATTGGGAAAAGGACATGGTTCTGACTAAAGCTCTGTTTGTATGACCCTGAGTCAGACACTTTTCCTGCCTGTAAAGTGAGAGAAGGGACAAGCTGACACCCCCTCCAACTCTAGCACTTGTCCCTGGGCACGTATGTGCTCACTTGTCCCCATGCACACTTACGCATGAGCCCCAATCCCTGTCCCGCCCTTCCCCCGGTCCAGCTGACCCTGCCTCTTTCTCCTGCACACGCCTCCAGTTGGACGTGTACCTGTTCCTCTTCTCTGACGTGCTCCTGGTGACCAAGCCCCAACGCAAGGCAGACAAAGCCAAGGTTATCCGCCCCCCCTTCATGCTGGAGAAGCTTGTGTGCCGGCCACTCCGGGACCCAAGTAAGTCTCCCCTCTGGGACCTTGCTCTTCCCCTTTCCCACTGGCAAGGTCGGGATGGGGTCCCAAACAGTGCAGCCCCTGAGGCAGAGCTTCTCCTCCACCCAGACAGCTTCCTGGCGATCCACCTCACCGACTTCCAGTGCGTCTCCAGTGCCCTCATTGTGCACTGTCCCAGTGCTTCGGACCGTGCCCGGTGGCTGGAGAAGACCCAGCAGGCCCAGGTATGGGATAGCCAGGAGTGGTAAGGGATGGCTGGGGCCCTGGAGCTCAGAAACTGGAGCACACAGGGGAAGGGGAGGCGAGAGAGGCTGGACTGGAGGCACATTCAGACTGTCCTCATGAGGGAGACGCAGCCTTGGCCATGCACCTGTAAGAGCAGGGAAGAGCGCCAGCTGCTCTGCCAGCCCCAAGAGAGCCCAAGACAGCATCCCCCTAAAGGCTTCTACACGCTGAAAACTTGAAGTCCTCTGAACTTCATCCTCCATTCAACAGGCATTAATGGGGCCCCCGGTGGCTGCAGACACTAGCTAGGTGCTAGGGAATCGAAAGGAGTAAAACATTCCTGTCCTCGAAGAATGTGCACGGCAGCCTAGCTGGACAAACTAGTGTAGGAATGCAGAAGCCTGCACACATAATGGAACTTGGACCAGAAGGGAATAATTCACTCTGCCTGGTGGGTTGGTTAGGAAAGAGACGGTCCAGAGGGCGGGTATGCTGAGAAGTCTTCACAGAGGAGCTCTGCTCAAAGCACCGTTCGGGGGACCCCTAGGAGTATCTCAGGGACGCAGGGTGGGAAGGCAAGGTATTTCAATTGGAGAAACAGAATGTGCAAAGGTCAGAGATACGAAACCCGCGTGTGTGCTGAGAGACACACAGGTATCACTAAGACATGAAGCACAGGGCAGGCACCGCGGCAGGGAGGCTGGGAGGCAGGCAACACCAGCATGCCCATCGCTGGATGCCACGTGAGGAACTTGAACTTTGTCTTTTCGATGACAGGGAACCAGTAAAGGTGTTAAGCAGGGAATTGACATGAGTATATTTATGTGATTAATGCTAGAGGAATTCAGAAGAGAGAGCCAAATGAAACTGTATTGACACCATAAACTGGGTGACTTAAAATAACAGAAGCTTATTCTTTCCCAGTTCTGGAGACCAGAAGTTGGAAATCAAGGTGTCAGCGAGGCCACGCCTCCTGGCCAAGGCTCTAAGGGGGAATCCTTCCTTGCCTCTTCCAGCTTCCAGGTGTTCCTTGGCTTCTCCACCCCTGCCTCTGTCTTCACAGTCTCTGTATCCACATTCCCCTCTCCTGTCTGTTATAAAGACACCAGTCATTAGACTTAGAGCCCACCCTAAATCCAGGATGATCTCATCCTGAGGTTCTTGACTCAGGATCTTTGCACCCTCTTTCCAAATAAGGTCACAGTCACAGGTCCTGGGCATTAGGACCTAGACATATCTTTCTGGGGCCACCATTCAACCTACTCCAGGAGCAAAAAGACCAAAGAAGTGTGGGGATTTGAGTTGGACTTTTAAGGATGGGAAGGAAGACTGTGAGCAGAAGAATCAAGGGAGTAGCTGGGCAGTGACCTTGGCGGTCTGAGTCTGGAGCAAAGGGTTTCTGTGAGCTGGTGATTGAGCAGCCAAGCTCTACAGGACCCCACGAGCTGCAGTGGGGACTGGATGACCCTGGGCTGAACTGGGTTGATGAGGGAGCCACCATACATTCTCGAGCAAGGGAATGCCATGGTGAAATCAGTGTGTGTTGTCTTGAATTGTTAGGTGGCGGTAATGGGTGCGCTGTGGGAGGGGGAGATTGGTGACAGGAGATTTACTCCACTAGTTTGGGTGTGAAACACTGAGAATTAGTGCCATGGCCTTAGCCATGAGGGAGGGAGGGAGGGAAGGAAAGGGGGCAGAGGGGAGGAGGAAGATAGGAGCTAAAGAAGAGACAGCCCTGACTGGTGTGGCTCAGTGGATTGAGCGCTAGCCTGCAAACCTAAAGGTTACCAGTTCGATTCCCAGTCAGGGCACATGCCTGGTTAGCAGGCCAGGCCCCAGTTGGGGGTGTGCAAGAGGCAATCGATAGATGTATCTCTCACCCAGTGATGTTTCGCTCCTTCTCCTTTTCCCTTCCTTTCCCCTCTCCCTCAAAAAAAAAAAAGGTAAATATATAAAAATCTTTAAATTAGGGAACTAGTTAAATCCTATACCAAATGCATGAAAATCTAGGCTCAAGTACCAGTTCCACCTTTTCATTAGCTGGGTGATCTGGGTGAGTTATGTGGCCTCCCTGGTCTTCCCTTTCATCACCTGCAAGTGGATATAAATAACAGTCCTTGCTTCATAGGGATGATTCAAAGATCATTCAGATTAAGCACGTAGCATGAGGTAAAAGTTCTGTAACACTTCCCCAAAGACAAAGGAAAATTTGCTTCCCTAAGCTCCCATTCGAAAGACTGCTTTGGCATTGGCGCCCGCAAGAGAAATGAAGTCTTTAGAAAGGGAAACCTGTTTGTTTAGTTGTCGTTTCCTGGGACGTGTTGTTTCCTAGGGTAGCAATATTCAGTTTTAAACAGAAGTACTTTGGAAATGCGTCAGTGGGAGACAGCCAAGGGAGATATCTTGGAGGCTTGTGGAAAAATGGAAACACAGACCTGGAGTGCAGGTGAGAAATTAGGGTAAACTATGGAAGTTGCTAAGAAAATAAATCTTAAAAGTTCGTACCACAAGAAAACAATTTTTATAACAATGTATGGTGAGGGATGTTAACTAGACTTATTGTGGTGATCGTTTCATAATATATACATATACTGAATCATTACCTTGTACACCTGAAACTAATATGTTATATGTCAATCATATGTCGATTTTAAAAACAAGAGGCATTTCGAACAAGGAAAGAAATCTTATTGTAGACTATTTCTAAACAATGCAACTTCATTATTTTTAAAGTGTTTAAATGAAATTAGTGTTTCTCACAGGGTTTGCTTTAATGAATAGATAATAATGATTTGTCATTAGCACATCAGTCAACTAGGGCCTCTGAAACTTGAGAATGTGGGAAGAGTCTGTTTGACTAATTTTGAGCATCTTTCCACCATCTTCTCTATGGTACCATATCCTAAGGTGGAGAGCTTATTTGAGAAAAGAAAAGCCAGAGCTTAGTCTCTTTAAATACTGTATTAAAATTTTTGAATTAGGAGAGTAGAAAAGAAATACAAGATTTTTGCCATTAAAGAAAAAAAATTAAAAAGGAATGAATTAGGGATGAAAGGCAGAACCTCAAGATAGTGTGTCCTCCAGCCCTGCAGGGCTGCTGCTTCCTTATGTACCTGAGCAGGACGGTGACAGTTCCCAAAAAGGCAGAGGCAGGGGACAGGTGGGGGGGAGTGTGGAGGTGGGGGTGGTTTTCTCGGTGAGAGTGGTCTCCATCTGTCCTGCCTCAGGCCCACTCACAGTCCCCCCTCTCTGTGACAGGGGCCTTCTCTCTACACCACTTTCCCCAGCACAAACACAGTGTCCGCAAGGCCAGGCTGACAACGGACGCTACTCGGCGGGTAGTTGAGTTGTACTGCAGGCTGGGGTTGAGTTGTACTGCAGGCTGGGGAGGAGTGGAGCAGAGGACAAAGAGGACAAAACTGGAAACAAGCCCCAGGCTCTCCAGGACAACAGGTGGGGGGCCCTTACCAGCAGGCAGCCTCTTCTCCTTACCACTCCCACCGTCCGAACTTTCTCCTTTTCCTTCGCTTCTAGGTCTCTGGGCAATACCCGCCCCTCTTTCTTCTTTTGGAACCTCCTGGGGGCCACAAAAATTTCTGGTACTTTATTATGCAAAATAATTTAGTCCCCAGTTATCTCACTGCTGGCTAATAGAGAAAAGAAGGTCACTTCTGATGCCTAAAGCTTCCAGCCTCCCTTTGCAAAACAAGGAACTGAAGCTTTGAAATTGCTAGTATCTCACACCAAATTCCTAGCGAGCCCCTCTCTCTCACCATCGGTCTTTGTAAACTGCAGGGGGCAGTGCAGTGTCTACTGGGCCCCTGAGACAGCGACCCCCAGGGGTCAGAAGATTTTTTTCTCCCCCTCACAGAAACGGACATGGAGATTTATCCCTAGTGGGTCTACCCACGGTGGCTTAAGCTTCAAGAGAAAAGGAGCATCTCAAGGGAAGAGAGACTGGATCTTGGGAAATGCCCTTATTTAGGGAATGAGAAGAGGAAAAGGCACCAGGGACAGGAACTGCAAGAGCTGGTCGAGATGAAGGCCAAGAAATGAAAGGAGGGGAGGAGCCGGGCCGGAGGCCGCAGAGGCCAGCTCTGGTTATCTCTGGGTTCTTGGAGGATTACTTCATTTCCCTAGGCCCAGCCAGTCCCATCTGGGGAATTGCACTGATAATGGGAACTGCCATGCAAGATAGTTTAGAGAACTATGTTTGTAAACTGTTTGGCGGAGGCCCAGCACTTAATGGGCGCTCCATAAATGCTTGTTATTGTCATCATGAGACGGGGCGGGGGTGGCGGGGGTAGGGGGGTGTCAGTGGTGCCCCGGGCCTCGATGCTGACTGGACACACGCCTCAGCGTCTGGAGGACTTGGAAAGGAGAGCGGGTGAACCCAGGACCACCCCAGCGGCAGTGGGAGAGGAGGCATTTCCTCTCAAGGCTTCTGTTTTCTGCCTGGGCGGCAGGCGGCGAAGGAAGCCGAGTCGTGTCTAGGGAGCCCTCCCGTCCTTTTCCCAGCTTTGTGGGGGTGCCACATTCTGGCTCAGGCACCAGTTTCCTCTTCCCTTCCCACCCTGCCCCCAACATGTCTCTCCTCTCATCCAAGCAGAGAAACCTTGCCTGGGTTGCTAGGAAGGCTTGGGAGTGGCTGGGCGCCCTTCAACAGCCCCAGTGCCCGGTGCCTGAGGCCGCCGCCTCCCTGCTTCTTCCTAGGGCAGATTTAGTGAAGATGCTGGTATGGGATGTCCCTTACAGACACCCCACCAATCCCCCTTCCCCCTTTCCAGTTCTTTTCTTCCACATACCATCCCTATCCTGAACATCCCAAACACAAAATTGAACTTGGGTCTTGTGGGGCAAAAGGGCCTGGCATCTCAGCAGGACAAGCAGGCCGCCCTGGCCCCTTCCAGGCCCCAAGAATGGGCCCTCCCACACTCCACACAGCTGGGAGATGCATCTGGGGACCAGGAGCGATCCCAGGCCTTGGCCTGGTGTGCTGGTTTCTTGTCCCCAGGCACCGTCATCCCTTGCTCTGGCCAACAGACCAAGTCTTATGAGGCTGCTAAGAATCCTTGCAATGCTTTCTCACTCATGAGAATGAGTGACTGGTGAGCCAGGCGAGGAGAATTGGAAATAGAAGCCCAGGTCATGGATGTCATTTTGCTCTCCCTGCTCACCATTTCTCCAACATGTCTCTTTCACTGACCCAGCTACCCATTGTGTTTCTGGAGAAGCTCTAGGAAGGTCCAGGTGTCCAAGAGTTGCTGGTTCATATACCTGAAGTGGGGAGATATTCAAAATGCGTGGCATGGGCATCGACCAATCAGAGTGGAGTATTGGGAAGGGGGCGTCTTCCCTGCTGTGCCTGATGCTGTCCCTCCAGCTGTTAGATCTTGGGGAGCAGGGTAGTCCTGAAGAAGGGAGGTGGGCGGCTCGGACAGCAGCCCTTTGCTTACCAGCATGAAAGTACTTCGGTATTTTAACGACGCCAGGACCATCTAGTGAGTCCTGGCATCAGCGCTGCCCGCAGTGGCCACCACTTCCTCTTTTGCCGAGCCTCTGCCTTCAGCCTCTCCCTGGTTCTGCTGCCTGCCTTCACTTCTCCCCCCCAGCAAATGCTGTCCTTTAATAACTATGTACCCTTTCAGGCTGCCCTTGAAAACAGTGTAGCTCCTGCTCTAGGACTCACAGAGAAAGGCCCAGTCCCCCTTCTCTTTCTCTCTACCTATGTGACTGAGCAAGTGCCTTCACCTCGTGAAGTCTTGCTTTCTCATCTGTAAAATGGGCTACTAGCCATGCTTTCACCCCGCAGAGTGATGGTCTGTCTCAAATGACTGTGCATGTGGAGGTGCTCTGAACGCCCCTTCTCGGATGTCACTATTTTATTCTGATGACATCTGTATGAAAATGTTGAGGAAGACAGAAAATGTAATGCATCCTCTCTCTGAAACCTCTTGAGACAGTCTTGCTTTCATCTCTGAAGGACAACAGAGTCCTCAGCATAGGACAAAGCCTGCCCCGACCCACCAGCCTTGTGGCAGGAGGAAGAGTAACCTGAGGACCCAGGACTTATACCACCATCACCACCAAGCAGGGAGGACTTCCTAAAGGAGGGGGCAGACCAGATAGATAGAGGGCTGGCCAAGGGGGCACAAGAAGAAGGAAGAACTGAACATGGAGGAAAGAGGACCTTCTCCTCAGCCCACGCACCCCCAGGACCAGCTTGAGAGTTCAAATCCTGGTTCTATCTCACTTTCTTACTGCATGATCTTTGCAGTTACTAACCTCAGTCTCCATTTCTCAGTAGCAAAGTAGGAGAAAAATAAGTATTGGCCTCATCAGGTTGTTGTGAAGATTAAAGGAGATAATGTATTGTGAAGCACTGGGCCCGGTACCTGGCACATAGCAAGTGTGCAATAATTGAGGATCTTACATCCCTACCCCAGGTCACGCTGCAAAAGCTGAAGGCAGAAGAATATGTCCAACAGAAGAGGGAGCTCCTGGCCCTCTACAGGGACAGGGACCAGGAGTCTCTGGGCACCAGGCCCTCCACACCTTCCCCAGAGGGCTCTCAGAGCAGCGTGGAGGGGAGGTAAGATCCGCCAGCACCGTAAGCTCTCCCACAGTAAGGAGGCTGCAGCCAGGGAGGGAGAAAACAGGAACCCATAAGGCTGAAAAATGGTATGATAGCGCTTGGGAGGATTAGGAATAGATTGAGGAACCCAGGCTACAGGTTGGAGAGCAGAGTGGCACCGGCCTTGCGAAGGGCCTCCTGAGACAGCCTAGCAGGTCAGCCAGCCTAGGGTTGGCACAGGCGGAAACGCACATAAGGCCCTAGCTGCCAGAAAGGAGCAGGCTCCCCAGGCTAGAAACAGGGAATGAAGGCCGATCGGGATTTGCAGAATGTCAGAGCTGCAGGGACCAGCTTAGTCCAAATCCCCAGAGCATGAGGCTCATCCTGAATAACACAGCTGTTCAATAGCATGGTTAAGGGAGGAAAAAAAAGACGAAGACCCACCAGTGGGTGGAACCTCAGGAGATCTCAGGAGCCCCACAGAAAATACCTGAGTGTTTACTTCATACAAGGACCTGGACCAGGTACCTAAAATGTTTTAGAGGAGCTTAAGAGTCCAACCAGATAGATGATAAAAAACAGTCCGTGCAGTGTAAAGGTGATATCAAATTAAGTTTGGAGGGGCCGTTTCAGAATGGGGTGATCAAGGGATACTTCCTGGACTTGAATTTGACCACTTAGCTTCTTACTCTGACCCCTCATTAATTTGTAGGACTCATGAGTTCCCTGCTGTCATTCCCCATCTGGTGGTGACAGAAGACTCAGATGAAGACACTCCCTCGGTCCAAGATGACACCTCAGACTCTGGCTACAGCACGCTGATTCCTGTCTCTTCCAAGGGGTCTCACTCCCCACTGAGCCGTCTACGCCCATGGGCCCTTCGGCGGCACCCTTGCCTCACCTTCTCCGCCCTGGACCTCCGGGATGTTACTTTGCGCCCCCAGCCCTCTGATCCCCAAGCTCCCCAACGCCGAAGCACCCCTGCACTACCGGGGGAAGCTATCCGAAGAGGAAGCAGTCTTCCCAGAGGAGAACCACCAACCTGGTTTGAGGAAGAAGATGGGACGTCAGTGGGAGAGAACGTGGTAGTGGAAACCTTGCATAGGGCCCGACTTCGGGGACAGCTCCCACACTCCCCTACCCACGCTGACTCTGCTGGGGAGAGCCCCTGGGCATCCTCGGAGGATGAGGAGGAGGGGCCCCTCCTCCTAGGACCCTGCCGCACCCCCTCCCCTCGCCCCCTCAGGGCTGAGGACATGCTCAGAGAGATCCGGGAGGAGCTGGCCAGCCAAAGGATTGAGGGCATCCCAGAACCCAGGGACAGCAGGCCTCGGAAGCTGACTCGGGTCCAACTGCAGAGGATGCGCGGGCCCCACATCATACAGCTGGACACCCCGCTGTCCACATCGTAAGTGCTGAAGGGAAGGTGGCATGGGATGGAGCAGAGAGGAAGGCCAGTATGGAGTGGGAGGGGTGTCCGAGTAGGAGGCTGGTGGGGAGGGGGCCAGTCTAGAAGGAACGCAGCACCACAGCAGGGCGCCAACAGGAAAGAGCCCGTAGCCTCACTCTTCATGCCGTGCCTGCCTTCACCTAACACCCACCTCCTTTCTTTTCAGGGAGGTGTGAGGAACACTCAGGACCTTGGGCATTGCTCCCTGAGGAAATCTCCCCCCAAGAGTGCTGGTCACCACCCCGACCCTGGGACTCCACTTCAAGATCCACCCGCCCCATGGAGCCTATCTTAGTGTTCCTTGCGCTTCCTGCTCTAAAAACTCTGGGGACGAAAGCTGTACATTTGGGTGCCAGAGACACTGGAGCCCCACATAAAGTTGTACATAAAAATGACGGCCCAGTCAGCGCCAGGTGAGGGTGGGGAGAACCTGGGGGCGTGAGTAGCAGAGTGGGCACAGGCCGCTGCTCTGGCAGGCGGAATGACGGTGGTGGGGTGTCCGGCCCAAGCCCAGGGCTTTTCACCATCCCACCCATCAGGACACAGGTCTCTGCCCCAGGCTCCCACCCACCACTCAGAAAGACCATTCCCTCCAGGAGCATAGCTTTAATCCTCCAGTTTTAGTGTATTTACAAAAGTCCACAGCTTCCACTAGAGGCCCCATTGTTCTGTGCTTGTCCCCTACCTTAGGACCATTCAGGTTACTGTGCCTGCCCAGGCAGGGAAGAAAGGAATGCCAAGTTTCTATTAGTATAACGTAAATGATACAAAGATTGCTTATCTACTATTAAAAAGGCTCAGAGGACCCTAAAGCTCCTTGCTGGGTCCTCCAAGCCCAAAATAGGCAATGAATCATGGCACCCCGTATCCCTACAACCGCCAGCTTGGGCTCCTGGCACACTCAGCCTCCCTCACAGCCACACACACCACATCAGTCTATATCTGTCCCCTCTCCCCCCATCTCTCTCTCCACCCCCCTCTCTCTCTCACACACACACACACACACACACACACACACACACACACACACGCAAACACACACACACGCGTGAGCACATGCACAGCTGACCCTCCAGCAGTGCTAAGGCAGCTGAGAAAGCTACACACATTGAGGGAGTAGCACCAAGGTAATGGCTGCCAGCTCATGCCTGCCCCTCCAAGACCCTTCCTCTCCAGAAAAAAAAAAAGAAGAAGGTCCAGAAGACGTCTTGCAAGGTCCTTTAGGGACCCTAGGGCAGGAAACGGCTGTCCTCAAGGCAGGCCCCTCCCAGGGGGCGTGGCCTCATCTGAGAAGGTGGGTCTCCGGCGAGAGGGAGGCGGGGCCACGCAGGGTAGCCTTTATTTCCTCCAGGCAGCCGCGCAGGTCCATGTCGCAGAGCACTTGGCCCAGAAGATCCAGCGTGGCCTCCCGTCGTGGCCTGCTCTGGAGCCAGGCCGCCAGCATGCTGTAGTGCGCCTCGCGCAGGCAGCGTCCATTCTGCAGCTCCAGCCGCTCGATCGCGTGTTCACTCAGCCCCAGCCGCCGCACGAACTCCTTCCAGCGCAATGGGGGCACGCAGTCCATCACGGCATACAGCATCGCTGGGTCTGCAGCGGGGAAGCACGTGGTGAGCCTGGAGCTGCGGCTCCCAGGCCGGCCCTGGCTGCCCTGGCCGGGTTCCCTGCTCACGCATGTGCCCTCTTGGAGCCCCGCCTGCCTGCACCCCGTGCCGGGATTCCTGGCTGGGTGCTTACCAGCTTGGCTCTGCATGTAGGTGCTGCCCTCGCAATTATGAAAGGTGGAGGTGGGATTGCGGGCTAGATCTTCTTGGAGAAGGCACATTTTCTGGTGGTATGAGACCATCTCTTTGGGCTTTGAAGTATCTCCGGGTTTGAAGGGAGTAGGACATGATGGGGAGGTGGGGAAGGTTGTAGGAGAGCTGAATTCTCGGTGTGGGCTGGCTACCTCCTGAAAGAGAGAAGGCACAGCATTTATCAGGGAGAGGAGAAACAGCCCCCTCTCTAGATTATTCCGAATGGGGATGGAACTAGAGGGAGTTCGGGGATCCTGATTTGGTTCTTACAAGATTACAATGGACAGTCAGGGAAGATTGGGGGTAGATCCCTGGTTTCATCTTACCTCTTTTGTAGATATCGCTTCAGGACAAACTGAGAAAAAAAAGAAACAAAATGTCGTTAATTTCACTTCCTCTCTCAACCCTGGCGCCCATGCTGAGGCTGGCCCTGGGGACTTGTGGTGACATGCTTCAGGGCCTATGTGGCCCCAGGGATGAGAGAACTACTGATGCAGTATGACCTCTCACCAGCCATCCAGGACCATCTCCTGCCAAGGGAGGCTTTCACAGCGAACCAAGGGGATGCTCATTTCTCTCCTCCCACATCCCCACAGCACCCTTTCCCCGTCCCGAGGCCTCACTCACGAATGGCCTGGAGCTTGGGCTTCCACCGTGGGAAACGGCATATTAAAACTGAGAAGAGGACGGATAAAAGGCAGAGACCAAAGATGATCACCAGGGGCAACAGCACTGTGGTGTCTGGAAACAAAGCAGACTGTGATCAGAGGAGATGGCTGCAGGGGGCAGCAGGGTTAGGTGGCTGGGTGCAGGGGCAAGCTTAGGAGGGGGCAGGTGAGCACGAGCACCAGGTTATTTCTCCTCACCTGAGGCCGGAGGTGTCGAAACATATTCACGTGGGACACACAACTTCATGCACTCCATGTTCTTACAGCTACAAAAAGAGATAGTGCAGGTAAATAGAGGCTGTACCATAGGAGGACTACAGGTTTAAGAGGGGGGGGAAAGACATTGTTAGAAATTCTCCGCTTCACAAATATTTTAGCTATCTCCATATATAATGGAAAGTAAAACTATCTTGGGAATCGATACAAAGGGATGAAACAAGTTAATAACAAAATCACTTAATTTAGGATTGGAATTGACCTTGAAGAAGCTGTAGAGAAAAAATGAAAAGCAGGCAGGGTCAGGGTTTAATTTCCAGCCCAGTCATTGCCTAGTAGTGTGACTCTAAGCAAGTCATTTAACCTGTATGCCTCAGTTTCCTCATCAGGAAAACGGATTCTACCCACCTGACAGGACTGAGGACTGAGTGAAAGAATTCTGTCTGACATATAGTAACTGCTTGACAAATTGTAGCTGTCACTGAATTGTTATTTAATCATTTGTTCTGCTAAAGAGAATCCTGTGACTAAGGGAGGGGAAAGAGCTTTTATTCAAGATGGCACTGCTATTGACAGTACCTGACTTTGAGAGAGGGGTCAAACATGCATGTAAAAAATGTAAGATACATACTGCTGGGGGCAATGTTACAAGCTTATCCTCCCACATTGGAAGCTGTCACTGGGCAGTGTGGAGTGATGAGAGCTACGTGGGAGGCCTCGAAGGGCCTTGGGAAGGCCTCGGCAATCTGAAGCCAGAAAGAGGCACTTTTGCCCACTTCACAAGCTCCTCATGAGAACCACATGGTCTTCTCCTTTCAAGGAGAAAAGACAAAACTTAGTGGAAAAAGAAAATACTTTCTTGTCAGATACTTTATAGCTATTTTTGGTGGGTCTTACAACTTCACCAAGTGGATATCATTACCCTTTCTTTAAAGGTAAGAAAACTAAGCCTCAGAGATGTTAAGGCACATGCCCCGTCACACAGCCAGTAAGTGGCTAGGCTGAGGTTTAAACCCAGGTCAGTTCAACTGCAGAGCACTCAAGAGTTTCCACTTTGCAGGTGAGTATGCAAAAACAGCCTCTGGGAAGCCAGGAGTAAGGAGGCCTAGCCAAAGGGATTGGGGAGGAAATAACACATTGCATCAAATATAAGATGCGATCAGTAATAAGAGGCACCATTATTTGCATAACACACACACTCACACAGAGCTGCCAATTAAACCATGACACATCACCAACTGTTGTAAGATACAGTCTGATTTCAGAGATGTGAAACAATGGTAGACCCTGTTGCCCAAGAATTTCAACATCAAAAAAAAGAGAATGTCTAAGAACTACAAGTCCCTGGTGTATGAGCCTCTGTCCCCAAAGCTGGGGGAAAGGAGGAGGACTATCTGGTGCCTTGACATAAAATGTTTGTCACTCAAACAGCCAGTTGGAGCCAGTGCACCCTGGGGTGTCTCCCTTGTCCTTCTGGTGGCTCTTGCCACAGCCACTCCATCCCACCCAATGTCCCTTGACCCAGTGCCCAGCAGCTAGCAAGATACTCACTAAGCACAGTCCATGCACTTGTTCTTGTTGTTTAAAAAGAACCCTGCGTCGCAGGAGCATATGGTGTCCTGTCTTTCACTACCTGTGGGGAGAGGAGCAGTAGAGCTAAAGGAAGTCCGCCCTGCACCCTGAGGACCAGAGGGAGAGCCAGGAGGGGCTGGTATAGGTGGCCAGAGTAAAGGTATTCCCACAGACCGTGGGGAAGGGTAGAAAGTGCTGCCTCTTGGGGCAGGGGTGCAAAAAGGTGGAGACCCACCCCCAGAGACAGGCCCCACCCCTGCAGCGAGGACAGGGATGGGATCAGTGGGGCCATACTCACAGGGGACTTGCACAGTGCCATTGAGGCAGGAGCTGCAGTTCAGGCAGCGGAAAAGAGTAAGATTCCAATATTTCCGATACTGTTCCTTCTTGCAGCCACACACGGTGTCCTGGTCCACTCTGCATGAAGAAATCTCCACCTGGTCCATTTCTGGCGAGGGGAAGAGATGGGGTATGACCTCTCCCTGTAGCACACACTCACACCCATGTGCTCTATCACATATGCACGCGCAGTCCTTCCCACACCCAGGAGCACAGGTTTGCATGCCCTCACAAGCAGATGAGCACGCACATCCCTCTCAATGGCCAATGGACCCGTCCTATGTAGAGCCCTTGCCCTCTCCTGAGACTCACCTGTCCGGCACCTGGAGCAGCTGAGGCATTGTGTGAGGTAGTTCTCGGAAGCAGTGTAGGTGCCATGTGCACACTCCCTACAGTCCGTGTCCAGCCCTGGGCCTGGGCAGTCCTTGTACCGGTAGGTCCCTGTGATCGGGATGTCTGGGTGAGGCTGCAGCTGAGAGCTCAAGGAGGGAGCCCCATGCAGACAGAGAACAGCCCTGGCCACCTCTCCAAAGTCTTTAGGAGAGGAAAGGAGGGAGAAAATCCCAGCCCAAGAGAAGCAGCTAAGTTAGGAGACTCAGGGACAGAGGCCCCAGGTTCTAGAACATCTGAAAAAAGCAAAGAAACCATCAGGGCCCCATAACTGAGGAGATTCACTGTTACCACTTGTTCCTACCTTTATGGCACTTCGTACAGCAAATAGAATTATTATGAGTGTGGGGGTATTTTCCTTGGGGACACTGGCTTTCTCTCTTTTCCCGGTCCCTGGAGCGAGGGACCAGTCCACCAACCCTTGAGAGGTTTATTTGCACCAACAGAGTCAGGAGCACCTAGGAAGAATCAATAGAGGAGATCCCATCAGGAGCTAAGCTTAGACAATTGGCACCATGCAATCTAGTGTTTAAGTGTCCTCTAGTTGTTCTGTGCACTAATGTCCTGTGTCCTTCCAGCTCCAGGCTGGGGGACCCTGGGCCCAGCTCTATTTTATCCTTATTTCCCCATAGCAGTTGGATGCAGGGCAGATGTTCAAGGACTGTTTGTTTTTTATTGGGAGCTGGTCGGTTACCTCAATTCTGGCCCGCCCTTCCCAACAAGCAGTCCCAAATATCAAGGTGGTGTTTTTCTGAGTGCTGCGTTCCCACCAAGTGACCGTACACAGAGGTGAACAATTGGGATCTTTGCACTTTCCTGCATTAGGCTATACCAGTAAAAAGGTTCTCTATAAAACTAGATGGGAGTGGAAGTAAGTGATGTCCTCGTGGGCACTGTTCCGGGGCAGTGCACAGAAGTACAAGAGTTTCTTTATAAACCTGTATCAACACCTCACTCAGGATCCCACCCTCAGACTCCATGCTACATGCTCTTCCACCACTAAATCTGCACAAATACTCCAGGGCAAATGGAGATGGGAATGAAAGGGAAAGTTCATGGTCAAGGATAGGGTCGGTGTGTGACAATGTTTTGATGTGGGCAAAAGCATGTAAGTTACATGCAACTAGAACTACCAGAGGCTGGTAATCCAGCTCAAGTGACCATCAATCACATCAGTCAACAGCTAAGGGTGTGCCAGGGAATCTAATCTAGAAGCTTTTTGCACACCAGTCGTCCTGGAAGATGTGTTTTACAACCTCAGGCCAAGCCCATAGCAGCTGAATCACTTGCCTATTTCTGGCTTAGGTACCTGGACAGCAAAGCCAGGAGCCAGTGTTGAGCTCCAACCCAGACTTTGCTCTTTGTTTAGCCTCTTGGTCGATTTTTTTGTTTGTTTGTTTTTTCTTTCTTTTCTTTTTTTTTTTTTTTTTTTTTTTTTGGTCTCTGCTGTAAGGTCGGTGTTATATAAAGAAAAGAGGATGTCCTCAAAGTATGTTAAACAATGCAGAGCAACAGACTAACCAGATCACAGAAACCTCAGCCCAGGGCAGGAGAGCCTAGCAGCCCTCAGCTTTGATGGCTCCATATCTTAACAGGCAGGTAAGCAGCTCACACCCTGAGTCACCCATTGGGAGATGCTGCAACAACCCAGAAGCCCAGGCCTCGGGCACAAACGGGAAGCCACACTCAAAATCACAGCAGCCGACCCCAGCAGCCCCCAAAGGAGCACACCCCCATACTCAGAGGGCAGCAGCCTTCTCCTGCCCGCTCCGGCACTGTGCCACCTCCCCTGAGAACAGGACTGGGGCTTCTAAGGCAACAGGAAGAGTGTGGGGTGGTTAATGGGAAGAACTTCCCGATCCTGAAAGAAGAGTTTTCCCCGAAGAAGAGCTCACAGAACTTAAGGTCATGGGCACTTGGCATTCCATCCAGGGAGGCTGGGAGCAAAGCCAAGGGGCAGAGAAAGAGTCAGGAAGAACTGGGGGGCTCCAGTTCCTGGACAACCTTGGGGGGTTGCTTTTTAGGGACCTCTGACCTATGAGGAATAAACTTCCTTGGAAGGCGGGAGGGAGGGAAGCTTTCTCAGGCCACGTGTCCCCACCTCTACAGCACTTTGGGGGTTAAGTCAGATCCGGGAAAGGGAAATCTTTTCCCAGAAGCTCCGCCCAGTGACTCAGGCCAGAGGGAGGGAGAGGATCTGGGGGAGGGGAGAGGGAACCAGAGCTTCCCCAGCTCCTCAGGGGTCATGAGTCAGCATAAAGACTAAGAGACCAGCCAGCAGTTGTTCCCATCAGATCCCTTCCTCCTGTGGGCCAGTCTCTTTACAATCCCCCCTGAGAACCCCTTTTCCTCCCCTCCTCAAAAGAGCCAGGTAATGGACCCCTGTCCCACTGGGCCCCGACATTTCAGGAAATGGCTTCGTCTCCCATTCCATCCCAAAGGGAAGTCTCCCTCGCCCCCCCTGGCTTCCTCCCATCTAGTCAGCACTCACCCCTCCCTGAGGGCCACTCAATTCCTTCCCACCCCTCAGCATCCTTCCTTTAGGCTAGATATCTTCCTGGCTCCTCCTCCCTGTCCAGCCAGTCCCCTACACAGAAGCGGCATCCCTGGGTTCTCCCCCAGCCCCCTGAGAGCCCCCAGTTCCAGAAGGAAGCCAACCCAGGCTGCCCTCCTCCCACCTGGGTTCACTGCATTCCCATGACCTGGCTGGTTCTGGCCAGTTAGGTTGAGTTTGGGGACCTCTCTGGGATCCCAGATAATCCTTAGGAAATAAGGCCAATTCTTTCTCCTCCACCCCTCCCCAAACCCAACGGCAGCACAGGAAAAGTTCCAGAGCCCTGAACACCCACTCCTAGGAGTGAGGGAGCAAACAAGGGATGTGAGACCATCAACGCTATTGCCCAGGTCTCTCCTGCTCTCCGCCCCCCAGCCCCCTGCAGCAGCAGCGTTAGCACTGGCTGGCTCCCATGGGCACCGTCCTTAGCAGCTGCCTCTTTGCAGCACAAGAGCAGAAACAGGTGAGCTCGGAGCACCCAAACCCCAGCCTGAGTGCCTGCCACCTGGAGCAGGAGAAGAGCAGGAAGCTGGGGGTGCCAGTGGAGAGACAGTTGAGGGGGTGGCCCAGCACCCCTCCAACTCCCCCACAACTTCCGCCTGAGGAGGCTTTAAAGTGTGACTTCCTGCCCCGTGGCTGCAGCGTGGGGTGGAAAGCGACCCTGTGGTATACTCTGACCCAGCCACCTCGTATAGCAGCTGTTCCCTTAACCCCGTAGGAAGTCATCCACTAAATGAAAATGTTCATTTAATGTCAAAAATCTTTGGGGAGCTCATGATAGCTTCTCCAAAGGCCCAGTTGCCATCCCATGTCCCTGCCCTGGAAGCCCTCCATGAATGCCGTTTCCCCTGCCCAAGCTCATGAGATGATCAGCCCCCTGTGCACTTTAGTAACATGAATTAACTATATGTATTCTTGGCTCCTATCATAATATAATTATCTTGGGTGAGTAGATAGGATCTCTCCAAAAGACCATAAACTCTCTGGGAGATCAGAAAGAGTATCTTGGTCAGAGATAGTACCCTATCTTCCTGGGTATCTTCTCAGCACCCAAAACTGGAGGAGCAAAATAATTGTGGTCGATCGAATAGCTGATCGGTCTTCCACTCCAGGTGAAGCCAGTGATTTCCAAAGAGGGAACTAGGAAGTCAGTGTCTCCACCGCCCTCTTAGGGATACCCAGGGTCCGGCAGAAGGAAGGCCTGCTTGAGTGTCGTTGGCAGGGTAATAATATGGGTGTAGTATTTATAGTTTTAATGTGAACATTTTACCTAAAATGCCACATAGTGTGCTTGAGTGTGATATTGTTATGTTACAGAATTACATGTTTATGATTTTGTAATTAAAAAGGGACATTATTTGTGTCAGACCCTGTATTTATGTCCAGGGGAGATTTCTCAAACTGCCCCCACTCCGTCCCCCACACATGCCCGCCCTCACTGGAGATTGTGATAAGCGTTCCTTTCCTCTCTCTTTGCGAGTCACGGGTGAGTAAACGCAGCATCTACAAATGATACAAAGGCCGATAAGAGTTTGAGAACCTCTACTCTGCCCTGTTAAGACACATAGTTCACTTGGCTATTCCCTGGACCCTTAACAAGCCCCGAATTAAATCTGTCAATATCCTAGCCTAAGAAATGTCACACCACCACCGTCTCAGCACCAACGCTGAGACCTCTGCCACCCTTCTCTGCTCAGGGAATCCCCACCCCTGCTGTCATTCCCCTTGCCAGTCCCTCCCCTGTGACCCATCTCCCGGTCTTCTCCATGTCCATGGTTGCCTCACACCTGCCATTACAACCATCTCCCAGCCAACTGCCCAGCCCCTTTCCTGCTCCAACCCATACTACAGACTTCCTTATCCGCAGTCATGCTTCAACTTGCACCTGCATATGTGAAAATCTTACTCTCCAGGATATGGTTTCCACAGGTCACTCCTATCCTGAATGAGTCCTTGTAGAGGTACCTCACTGCTGTTCTGAACACATTCCTGGACACAGTGGGCCCTCAGAGAACCCTTTCTGAATGAATGAATGAGTTAATTCCTCTACCTGGCACCATGGTTCAAGAGTCTCTCTTTGTCCCCTCCCATATTCCTTCCAACTTTCTCATTCTCATTTCTTGCTCTTCAACATGGTCTTTCCACTCCAGCCAAGGTGTTCAGCTTCCTGCCACCACCACCCGCAACACAAAAACTCCCTCTTTCCCTTCCTCTAATTTTCCTCAACCAATTTCCCTTTTTTCTAGCCACGCTGACAGTCAGTGACTTCAAATCTCAGCTCCAAATCCACTTTTAAGTAAGGCTTTCCTTCTCTCATCCCATCTGACCAATCTTTTGTTCCTTTATTCATTCAAGAGATAGTTAAGGTCCCTGGCTGGTGTGGCTCAGTGGATTGAGTGCCAGCCTGTGAAACAAAGGGTTGCCAGTTCAATTCCCAGTCAGGGCACATGCCTGGGTTGCAGGCCAAGTCCCCACCAGGGGGTGTGCGAGAGGCAACCACACATTGATGTTTCTCTCCTTAAATTTCTCCCTCTCTTCCCCTCTCTAAAAAATAAATAAATAAAATCTTAAAAAAGAAAAGAACCATATTCAATAGCACAATATAAGTGAGACAACCTCAGAAAAAGAAGAAAGGGAGGGAGGAAGGAAGGAAGGAAGGAAGGAAGGAAGGAAGGAAGGAAGGAAGGAAGGAAGGAAGGAAAGAGAAAGGAAGGAAGGGAAAGAAAGAAGGAAGGAAGGAAGGAAGGAAAGAGAAAGGAAGGAAGGGAAAGAAAGAAGGAAGGAAGGAAGGGAGGGAGGGAGGGAGGGAGGGAGGGAGGGAGGGAGGGAGGAAGAGAAAGAAAGAAAGAGAGAGAGAGAGAAAGAAGGAAGGAAAGAGTTAAGGAGCAACCAATCTATGCGCCAGGCCCCACCAGGCTGCCAGGGAGGAAGGGATGAAATACACTGCTCATGCTCTCGTGAGTTCTCCATGGGTCGCAGTCCACCGCAGCCTCTGCAATCTGTGCAGCATGTGCTCTGGGAGCATGGACACTAGAACTGACGTCTACTAAGCAAGAAAAGGCAGCTAGATGATCCTTCTTCCCCTCCCAGCTCTGGTGCTTTGGTGTTCAGGACACCACACCACAATGCTTTTGTGAAGATTTTCCTCCAGACTGTTCTGAAATCATTTTTTGCTGAAAGCTGTCTTAGCTTCTGGACTATAAGCTCTTTGAGAGTAGCAAAGTCTTGTTTGCTTTGTCACACTCTCTCCTGCATTCTTCCCCATTACCCCCCACCACCACACACAGACACACTGTGTGCTCTGGATTGCCCATTGAATGGTGAGCAATTGGTAAGTTCATGGACTTACATACGTCCTGTTTTCCTTCTAGAGCCAGGCTGAGCTTGTGTCCCTTAACAAACATACCCTCACCTGCGCTGGATCAGCCCCAGCCTTCAAGGCAATTTCCTTTATCTGTTCGGGCTACTGAACCCTGTTTTCCAAACACAGTAGCCACCAAGTAATTACTACTAATATTACTAACACTAACAATACAAAAGCTAACATTTAGTGAGTGCTTTCTATTTGCCATGCCTTACTCCTCTACCAGAATGTCGACTCTAAGAGGGCAGTGATTTTGTATACTACTGGAATCCAAGCACCTAAAACAATGTCTAGCACAAGGCAGGCACGCAACAAATTGAATGCTTACTACATATAGATCTATTTAATCTTCACAACAACATTATGAGGTAGTGATTGTTATGTTCATTTTAAAGATAAACTATAGCGTGGAGAGATTCTATAACCTGCTCAAGTTCAGGCTTCCAGTATGAGAGGGAGCCAGAACTGAATCCAAGTATCTACTCCCAAACAGAGAAGTAAGATAGCGGGCAGCTGAATTATGGGGCAGAGTGGGGTGTCGGGAGAGGCCTGGGAGGACAGCCTTGAAAGTAGGGAAGAGATGGGGCTTCGGAGATAGGAGGCAGGACAACTCGAAGGCTAGTGAGACCGGGAGAGAGGGAGGTAGCACGGGGAACTAAGGTCTAGAAATGTGGAGAACAGAAGGAGAGAGGGGGAACCGGAGAGAATGGGTTTCAAAAAGGAGATTTTGAGAAGTCTGAGGAGACTGACAGAAAAGCAAGGAATGATTGGGAGAGAAAGTATAACACCCGGAGGAAGAAGAGGTGTGGAGCCATGGGTGAGCCAGGGACTCAGAAGAAACCAGCAAACGCAGCGGGGAGATCCACCCAGCAAGGTGGGGAGGGAGCTCAGGCCATCAGAGAGGGCGACTCCAGGACACGGAGGGCGATCATGGATGCTTTGACATAAGGCTGAGGCAAAAGAAAGGGACATTTTCCAGTGACGAAAGCAATTTTCTTCCAACTTCCTCAAACACACTATAGAAGAAGAAACCAAGGGATTGTTGTCTAGGGCTGTGGGGAGGGGGTGGGGGGCAGGCAGAGGGACAGAGTCCAGGTGGAGGTGATGCTGGCTACCTAAAGAGGGTCAGCCCAACGGAGGCCACCTGCCTAGAAACTGAGGCAGATGTCGATGAATGCCCACATTAATACTTGACTTATTGTACAAATATAAATGCGACATCTCAAAAGAGAAAGAAACAAGGAAAGAAAGCCCCCAAGGGGGCAGCCTGGGCCTGGGGAGAGCAGTGGAGGTGCCCCCACGGGGCCACCCTGCCCCTGTCTCATTTCCCACTCCATTCCCAAAGAGCTCCCACAACATGGCATCCCAAACTTACCCCACCAACCTATCTCCCCTCCCAGAGTCAGTTTCTCCACTTCATTACAGTCCAACTCCTATCCTCCTGCTGGGTTGCCTCAGCCAGGGCTCGCCGGCAGCCTCACCTCTCCACACGCTCTGCACACCCAGCGCACTCTGAGGCCAGCCAGCTGACCAGAGGGACAACGTTCTGAATCATCTGGAATCTGAGAGGACTGACTTCCTTCTCCCAGTCTGTGCCTTTCCCTACCAAAGCTGCTCCCCCACGCCCCACCCCGCCACCGCTGTCAACTGTCCTTACATTTTCAGACAGCCCCTAGCCCTAGCAAACTGCCTCGGCTGTCAGCCGCGGTGGAGGCGACCTTTCCCCGCTCCCATCTTTCAAACTTCTCCCTTGCCCGAGTCAGGGCGAGTGGATGGACAGGGAAACCTGAGCTTTTGGCAGAGCCCGAGGTCGGACCACGGCCCCCTCCCAGCGAGGGCCCAGTCTAGCCCGCCGGCGTCACCCTCACCCACTTCCCACTCCACCCTTCATCCCCGGTCTCACCAGTAGCAGCGGCAGGCCAGGCACGATGGGGAAGCCCATGTCCGGCCAGCTGAGTCCTCTCACTCCCCCATCAGGGCTCAGGCAAAGGCCGCAGGTGGAGTAGCAGCGACAGGGCCCCGGGATGAGTCGGTCGGGAGGTCCCAAGGAGAGCCCAGGCCTTGGGCAAGGGAGTTAAGGGTTGGGACTCGGATGAAGATCACACCCTTGTCTCATGGGGTCTCAAGCCCTGAAGGCCAGAACTGAAGCCTGAGTCTCAGAGGACTGGGACTTCGAGACCTATAGAGGAGGTGGGAGGGGAAGGGAGAAAGGCAGTTGGGTGTCGCAACTGCGGTACAGGAAGAGCTTGGGGGAGGAGGCAGGAGGAGGCGGGAAGAGGCGGGAGGACTGGGCAAAAGTTCTTTAACTCTTTGTAGTGCAGTCAGAGTTGCTGGAGTCCTGGATCCACCAATCTGACCCCTTCCAACCAAACACCGACGTGCAAGAAGCCCCCTCCCTGCTCACCCCCATCGGCAGGGTTTTCCCAACTAAACAGCAGCAGAAACACCCAGGGGCCCTGGCCAGGAAGCTCAGTTGATTAGAGCATCATCCAATACCGTATGCCAAGGTTGCAGTTGCTGGTTCATTCAGGGCACATGCAAGGGACTGATCAACCAATGAATACATAAATAAGTGGAACAACGGATCACTGTCTCTCTCTCACTTCCTTTCTCTCCCTAAAATCAGTAACTGAACAAAGAAAAACCCAGGGCTTTGGCATGAAATTCGCTGGGTTCCAGTTCAGAAGCCTCTCCATTCTCTCTGGGTGGTCTTGGACAAACAGCCTGAAATCTCTGAGCCTGTTTTCCAACTTGCAAAATGGTGAGAACTTATCTCACGTGGTTGCTGTTATTGAAACAGGACAGATAACCGTCTGATACGTGACAAGTACTCAGGCAGGGTTCCTTAGTAACTCTTCCCCTCCCCCCTCCCACCGCCAGCCTTCCCCAGACACCCTAATCTCCCGCTTTCTTGGGAATTTACCCCTCCAACCCAAACCTCAGAATAAATCCAAACCCTAGTTTTCTGCCCTGGTTTGGGGCCCACATACCCTTTCCTAGTCTGGTTCTTATCCAGTCTGTGCTTGGCTGGGTCCCACAGCCGCTGATCCTGGCTCTGCTTCCAAACAACAGTGGGGCCTCAGGCAGAACCTCCACTGGGTCTCGGTTCCTCATTATTAAATGAGAGGAATGATCCCACCAACATGGGAAAGGGATGTCATGAGGATTAATGAGATCGTATCTGTGAAATGCCTTGGGAATTACAGATATCACGGTCGGCTATTACTAGTACATTCCCGGCACCCTTTTCCCAAATATTGTTCCGTATTTAAATCCAAACTGACCTTGGAGATCATCCACTGCACCCCTCTTGTTTTATAGCTGAGAAAACTGAGGGCTGGAGACACACCGAGCATGTTCCTTGCAGACCCAGCAGAAACACGCTCTGACTTCAATCCCGACTTCAATCCAAGGGCCTGGTTTGCTACAATAGACACATCGCCACTTTTCTACCGGTCCCTTTGATTCAGACCCTACTCCCTAACTGGGTATTTTATACCACTCCTATTCGTGCAGGACATCTCCCAAGTGAATCACATAGCAAGGGTAAAATGCTCATTCAGATATCCTCTGGGCATGATGACCCTCCCCATACCCAGCCCAGGCCTGAGGTCCCCCAGCTGCTAACCCTCAACCCCAGAGTCCACCTGCCTGGCTCTTACTCGCCTCCCATCTCTGGTCCAAAGGACAAAGCATCTGCAGATGAGAGTGGAGCTTGGCTGCTTCCACTTTGGGCTGACCATTCCACCCCATCCTGCAGCTTCTGAAGAACTGGAGATTGAAGCTGGACTCACAGAGGAGCTCACGTCTACCAACACACAGGGAGCCTCCAAGTACAGCACAGCGGACCCAGAGCAGGGCTCTTGAAGAATCAGGGTCACTGGAATGAAGTGCAAGAGTCAGAATGCCCAGTTTCCAATGTGAAGAAGCAAGGAGGGCTTCTGGCTCCTCACCTACAAAATGGGAAACATGCCTGTACCCTCACATCATGTGCATTGATGATTAAATGCGTGTAAAGTGTTTAGCAAGTGTTTGCCATATATTGAGCATTCAATACATGGTAGCAACATTAATAGTTTGTATTAATAACTAATAACAACTTTGATGCCCTATTTTTGATGTTACAAGAAATTTTTAATAGTCTGTACTGACCGTTCAAGCCATTACACATCGCCTGGTACACAGAGAGAGTCTCACTGTTCAGGTTAAATGCTTAATTAATCAGTAATTTTAAAGCTTTGAGAAATGTGGCATTGAATTGTTTGATGAAACCATTTTTTAAAAGATGGTGAGAGGTAGGTAGATCTAGGAATATGAAACGCTAACTAGTTTTATGAAGAAATTTCTTCCAAGGAGGGAAGAAATAACAGTGAGGGAGAGATTGGCACAGATGGAGAAATGGGAGAGGGGCAAGCTAGGGGATGAAAGAATTGGCTGTTAGGGTCCGCAGGGCAAAGGACGGAGAGGGAAGGGTTTCAGCTAGCAGTCTCCCCTCCCCCAGTACACGTCTCTCTCTCTCCCCTGCCCCCCCCCCCCCCCCCGGCAGTACAGAGTGATCAAAAGGACACTGGACTGCAAGTGAGGGTGACGTGGGCTGCAACCCCAGCCCTGCCACCCCGACTCTGTGAGTCACAGGAGACCCAGGTTCCAGGTTGGTTCTGTAAGAATTATGAACTTGAATGAGTCACCTCACCTGCTAACATCAATAAGGAGAAGAAGGCAACGTCACGGCATCTTCTCTAACACTCTGATTCTAACTCCTACCCTGAAGGCCCAGGGGTAGCAGACAGATAGGGATGGGATGGAGAGAAGGAAACCCCGCAGGGTGGAAATGCAGCAGGGCCAAGAGAACTCCAGGCGGGGAGGAGCGGGGAGCTGACTGCTGTCCTCTATGGCAGATCCAGCTTTGTCCGGAGGGTCCTGCCCACCCCAGCCAGAGCAGAGGGAGCTGGGGACAGGTGGGGCAAGGCTGAGGCTGTGGCAGAGAGCACACAAGGGCAGGCTGAGCCTGAGGGCTCTGGCGGAAGAGACTGTTGTAACACCACCATTTTCCCCTCATCAGCTTCAGTCTAGGAAAGGGAAGTTAGAAAACACCACATCAGTTCCTGGTCACAACTTTTTCTCTCTCTCTACTCCCTTCACCATCTCCTCCTATTTCCCCGAGGTTTCCTTGGCTCCTCAGGACAGGGAGACCATAATTGAGGAGAGTAAGACCAGGGACGCAAGGGAAATGCCCCCAAAGATGACGAGAAAGGGTAACTTCCAGGTTCCAGGTCTGGAGTGGGGGAAGGAACCAGGGGTCCCAAAACCAGGGTTCCCCTCAGACATCCCTCAATTTCTCCTTTATTAAAAGTTGGGAGGAGCTCTGGTTGGTATGGCTCTGTAGAGTGAGCGCCAGCCTGTGAACCAAAAGTTGCAAGTTCGACTCCCAGTCAGGGAACATGCCTGGGTTGTGGGCCAGGTCCTCAGCTGGGGACATGCAAGAGGCAACTGAACAATGTACCTCTCACACATCGATGTTTCTCTCCCTCTCTTTCTCCCCTTTCTCTAAAACAAAATAAATAACATCTTTAAAAAAAAAAAAAGGCTAGGAGGGTTCCCACTGCTGCTCTCTCCATGGCGATGCTAGATACAAGGCTTTGAGAGGACAGAGAAATGTGACCTGAGCCTCAAACTCCACCACCACTGGGCAGCTGATGGGGAGGTGGGCAGATGAGGACATTATGTTGCAGCTCGGCGGTGAGTTGTGGGTGCCCAGCGAATGGTGTGGAGGATTACTGATGATAACTAAAGTTTTGGAAGGACAAGGAAGATCAGACAATGCACAGGAGTAGGGGGCAAGTTATCCCAAGCACTGCCTAGTAGGTCTCCTAGGAGGAATGCCCATGCCTGTGCCCCCTGCCACTCGATCGTGGTCATGGACGCACAGCATGCACAGCACAGTGTCTGTGGAGGAACCAGCAGGAAAGTTTGTCTCTCTTAAGGTCCCTGAGGAATGGTCATTTCCATGGTGAAGCCAAGGGTATAGGAGTCTGTCTCCCCCACTCCCCACCCCAGGACCTCCTGGGAGCTTGAACAGAGGCCCAGGTATTCATATGCACTTCCCACCCTCTTCAGGACACCCCATCCAGCTCTCCAGACATTCTTTATGCAACAAATATTTATTGAGTGCCTGCCTACTTGCTCCAAGTGGGACACTGGGCTAGCCCCTGAGGTTACATAAATGAACAACAGTCCCTGACCACAAGGAGATCACAGTCTAGTTGGGGAGGCAGACATAAATGAACAAGAACATAAAATGCAAAATCAACACTCCATCAGATGTTGTGGAGTGCCGAGGGAGTCCAGGCGAGAGGGCAGCGATCAATCCTGGGGAAGACAAGATGGGGCAGAGGCCTTCACAGAAGTAGTGGTGTCTGAGCAGGGTTCTAAGGGATGCATAGGAGTTCTCTAGTCAACGGTGGGGAAAGCTTCCAGGGTTATGAAACAGTTTGAGCCCACTTGCAGAGGTGTGAGGACACAGGGCTCTGGGGCACAGGGTCCATGAGGCTGGACGAGTCCTGGGGCTGACTGGGAACGGCCAAGCCTTTGCTACACTGGTCTGCACCAGCCCCTGCTCTGGGGAGTCAGGGACGGGGAATTACCCAAGAACTAACTAAGGGGGCTTTTGGATGAGGTTCTCCACCCACATTCTAGAAGAGGAGCAAACATCTCTGTCACTGGAAAGCAGCATGGCCAGGCCAGTTGGGGGCTGGCTTTAGTCACCTTTGGGTAGGAAACCTGGGCATGCCTTTGTGTGCCCTTGTTTATGTTTTTTCTGGTCGTCTGTTGCTTCCTAAGAAAGTTCTTTGTCAAAGCTCCAAGTCAGACTTGGCAGATCCAAGGGAAAAGGAGATTTATCTGCAATTGGGTGAGGAAACCAGAGTGTTCCAGAGGACGGGGTCTGGGGGTACCGGGCAGGAGCCAAGGCAATTCTGGCAGCTGCCTTGGCCCCTGTTCTCCAGCCATTTCTGTAACCCCTAATCCATCCTTCTTCCCTCCCCCCAACACCAAAGGCAGTTGTGGCAGCTCAGAGAGCAAGCCCAAAACATTCTTTAATCTTGCCAAGGCTGGTCCCCGCCCACCAAGGGAAGCTGCCTTGGGGGCTGACACTCTCCTTCCCTCTCAGGCTCCCTCTCAGGGCTCCTCCAGACAGAAGGTAGAGTTGCTGGCCCCTGGCAAGCTGGGT